AGACAGGGATTCCCCAGTTTAGGGCCAATTCCCTGCCTCCTTTTACTCTGCATTTAATCACCAGACGCTCCGTCCCCTCCAGTATTTCTGCCTCACCTTAGTGGCTTCAGAGAACTTTCGTCCTTTCAGGTTTGAAACAAAATCAGAACACTTACATTATGTTTGTAAAAGCACTTTTCGGTAAGATAGGATAGGCTTGAGGCTCTTTCTTGTAGGAATACTGATTTCTTTCTGGGTGCAGGAAATGCAAAATGAGCCATCTTCCCAAATGATTCCTTTCATCTCACTCAACAAAGAAAGTGAAACACAAAGTGGCAAATGTGCTTTGGCTTCCCCACAGTGCAGTATCAGGTATGGTAATTACTCTGCCATTAACATTGGGAATAGTTAATGTGTATTAATGTGTTAATGGCATGTTAATTACTGTACATGTTAGAGCGAGCCCGCAGGCATTCTCTCAGATTCTTTGTGCCATGTGGATGTAGGCCAAGCTTAAAAAAGCCTTTAAGAACGTCGATGAAAGAGGATCCTTATGTTTCATTTGTCAGAACAAAAGATTTTCAATGGTAATTTGATCCAGCTCCCCGCTTCTGGAGCTGAAAGTCACTGATCCAGGCGCCACGACAAAGGAGATGATATGAAGTCAAAGGAGACGTGGAACGCGGCAGTAGTGACACTGGCCTCTTTGTGAAATGGATACTCTAAGCCCTCTGTAGTCTCTAGTGTGTTGCTTTGGCAGCAGGTTTTAATAACACGGTGGATTAGAAGCCTTGGATCCTGAGTGCCAAGCCAGAGTTAAAGCTCACCTTGGACGATCCTCAGTTACAGGCTAGATGCCACGGTCCTCCTCCTCCTCCTCCTCCTCCTCCACCTACTCCTCTGTGCCGGCTTTCTGCTCACACCGTCTACTTCCCGGCTTTAAGAGAGATGACCTTTGCAAATATTGACAGAAAATAAATTCTGTTTCGATTAGTTAGCTTTGGGAGACCTTTGCGGATCAATGCAATTAGATGAACAGAGTGTCGATATGTGGCCGGAGCATGTGCACCGGACAGGGTTCCTTGTAATGAACAGGAAGTTTTGGAAACAATGGTGGAAGTAACAGAGACATAGTGTGTTTTTGTCAAACACAGTTAAACACACAATTTACCGCAATACACATGCTGCAAGAAGCAACCTTGAAGCACCTCACAAAAGCATTGAGAAATTGCAACAACGAAAAGGATATCTCTGGATTTAGCTGCAGAAAAAGCGCTGCTCTTCCAGTGCATTGTCTGGCATCTGACAGTGCATTCAGTGCAGCAGAATGAGGTGCAGAAGCCCAGAGCCAGCCCTTCCCTCTTCAGCAGGCCACATTAACCCAGCAGGGCTCTGCCTTTATGGCTCTCCTGCTCACACTTCAGTGATGAGAGTAAACAAGCAGCGGGCCAAAGGTCAGCTAAACCCACAGAATAAAAGAGGGCACAGGGGGGGAAAAGAGGTGGGAGGAAAGGAGAGCGGCCCGAGGCAGTGCTCAGATCACTGTCAGGTCTTCAAGCAGGGAATGATGTACGAGACAACAGCCCAGAACCGGAAATGATTATAAACAGAGAACAGGGCAGAGTATATGAGAGAAAAGGGCTGCATTGTCTTTATCTGTCAAATTTGTTACTTCCTCGGATCTGATACGGATGGTGAAACCTGTAAAAAATGAAAAGAAGAACCACCACTGACTGATAGGGATGGATTAATCACAGTGTCTCCTTTTGTCTCAGCCACAGAGGAGAAATGAGGAACAATCATATAGGCAAGTGCTTTTTCCCCAGCTACCCCACCTGTATTGTTGAATGACAAATGAGGCAGATTAAGGACATGTTACATTATTATAACAATTTCAGGATTTTTTTGCCCTTTCTTTTACATCATTAAATTCGTTCTGGTAATTAAGTGAGCTGGCATCATTAGAGTTATGTGAAATAACCAGACCATATATAGATTTTTCATTCTTAAGTTCCAATTGCTTGCAGGCTTTACCAAGGTGACACGACTCTCGCACTTTCCCTTTGCACTGAGATTAATCCCACTTTGACTGTGGAGGTGGATTAAAGCTAAACTCGGGTGCCCAAACTTGTTTTAATACCCATATCATCAGACAAAAACAGGATAAAGATTTGAGCAGGCAAGCGGCATGGCAGTGCTAGAATGTGACTGTGGCTTTGCAAGTTACTATACAGATTTGTCAACCACACAGCAAATTAAAGATATTATCTCGCTCAAGCCTATTTTGTGGAAGTCGTGTGATGATGCCAAGCTTAGACATTGAATCCCCAATCTTCAGCTGCACCAACAAAGGCTCACAGCGAGATACGCTGCACCTGTTTTTAAAATTGTTTATTTTTTCTGTAGGCTATGTGTTCTCATTTTTCAAATGTTAAGTATTTGTGTGCTTAAGTCAGACGCGCCATCCCTCCCATCATGTGTGTTATGAATGGCCAGCCGAAGCCGCTGTGGCACCAATACACCCTGGTGGACTCCTGCAGGGCCGTCTGCTTCTCAGGACAGCACAGTAATCATTTTTATCCTGCTGATTTCCCAAATAGAAATGGACATGTATGATAAAAATGTCACGGCCACTCCGCATGTCAGCGGACTAACAGGATTACATGTCACTTTCTAATGTCTCGCTCTGTTTTCCTTTGCCGTGAATGGCCACATTATTGCACACAGGAACTTTGAGGTAATATATGGTAAGAGACTAGTAGCTCTTTATGGCCTGTGATTATTTAGTTTGAATGAAACCGGTGATTTATGCCCATTTAGCTGAAAAGCCCTGTAAATTCCCCCAGCTGCATTTCCCCTGGATATAGACTGAGTGGAGTGAAAGTGACAACTGGGTTTGGTGTGGAAATGTACGCTGCGTCCCAGAGTTATATTTAATATACCTGACATGAAAAACATGCCTACCTACTTACCACCACCCGCAGCACAAAGGAAAGTGCAGCCTGCTGAGCTTGAGTTGAATCAGAGAGTGGGAGTAAATACTGAATTAGGAAAATATGAACTGTAGTGGCAGACAATCCACCAGCTATTAGAGCCGACTTGAGATATGTGGCCAGGCATCTGGTCAGTCAACATTTGAATCATGTGCCATTTGGTTTTCCTGCTGCACAAACTGGAATAGAAACAGTGGAGCCTGTCCAGAACGAGAGCTTTGGGTGGAGTAGCGCAGATGCAGTGTGATGTGGATGAGGGTTAGTGGAGCAGCGGCATATTGTCCACATGGATGGCTTGGCTCTGCAAGCCTGATGGAGCCTTGTCCAGCATCTCAATGTCTCCAACACAAATAGCCACATTCATCCACTCCTCTCACACCATTACACCGAAAAGACTCTAAGCCAGCCGATCCATAAATAGAGGCACATTTGTTTTTCTGTGGCACCGCAGTCGAATGAACACCAACACATCTGAGGAGTGGCTACAATATGATGTGTTTCCTAATTAGGTTTTATTCAGGAATGTGTTTATAATAATGACAGAACAAATAAAAGATTTTTCTCTCTCTAGTATTTCCTCCTGCGGATGGTTTACAGGGTCAGTCGGTCAAAGCGTGGTAAAAGGGCTCCTCTGATTGCATGCCTACTGGCTGACACAATAGAGCCACTAATCTTCTTATTTAGAATCCAATGGCTGGCCATATCTTAATGAAGCTGTAATGAGCTGTTGAAAATCCCTGAATTGCGGGAGGGATTATTGAATTGAAACAACTCTGGTAATCATAACGTTTCGAGTAGCCACTCAGTATTTACTGCCCATTGAGCCACATTTCTATCCACTTATTAGAGTGGATTGCTCAAGCTTGTTTTTGTTGTAATTCTGACCCGCAGTGCTCTTTTGTTTGTTTATTCTCTGTAAAGCCTGGCTTTGCGGTTGCATTGCCAGTGCTTCGAGGTGTGCTAGTATCTGCTGGGTGATTACGACTGGCTGACAGACCGGCATACAGAGAACCAGAGGAAATAAACAGCAGGGTCTGAGTCTGAGAGAGGGAGCAGCATTCATGAATGAGCAGTTAACACAAAATTGACTCCGCACTCATGTTGATGTAAGATGTTTACTTCAGCTGCACATTCGTATTACTCCTTAAAATATGGCAACATCTGGATTGCAAAAATAATAGAAATTCAAACCTTATAAGCGTATAGAAATGAGGTTCCTTTTTGAGTTCCCAGCATTCACTGTGTCAAAGACAGAGACACTCACTAGAGGTACAGTTTCTGTTTAGCATCCTTTCGCAGAGCAGAAGTGCCACTTCACCATTGAGCATTTGTCAGTTTATGGATGTTGCTGTCATGTCAGCCTTCCCGTACACACAGTGTGCAGCGCAGTGTGTAAATAAAAGAGAACAGGCAAAGACATGGGCGACAGGAATACAGCACATACACAGGAGGCACCAGTTCATACCTGCAGGGGAAACATCCACGATAACAGACTGCGTGACTACTACACTCCTAATTACGCTTAACAATTTGACCCTATTTAATTGTTTCAATAGGAATATTTGTTTCTGTTAGAAAAATATCACTCGTCACCGGCTTGAGCTTCAATATCAGGATACATGTATTTATTATCCTTGCAAGAATGGAAGTAGTACAAGAGAGGGGGTATCACAGTCACAAGATGCATGGATACCGGTTCAAAGCAGTATACAATGTTTAGTTTAGATTAACTAAGACCCACGTCAGAAATGATCATGCTTGTCACATGTCTATCTCCATAGAGGCTGAATCATCATGTTAATCATTGTCACATAGCTATCATATGCCTAAAACAGTGTGTCCTGACGCTCTTCCAGGTGATCATACTGTACATCCTGTTGCGTACACAGCTACAGTTGGGCCTTTGTTATCATCTGCTACTCTGAAAGAGTACATTCAGTATTTTCCCAACGGTTTCATTTTTGCAAATCTCATTGTCCCTGAATTGCAGTAGTTGACCATCTGTCTCTGTTCTGTGTGTTGCTACAGGTCTCAGCATCCGTGGTTCCCAGGAGGAAGACCCCCCGGATCCCCAGCTCATGCGTTTAGACAACATGTTGCTGGCAGAGGGCGTGGCGGGACCAGAGAAAGGCGGCGGATCGGCAGCCTCCGCCGCTGCAGCAGCAGCCGCCGGGGGGGCCGCCGACAGCTCCATCGAACATTCCGACTACAGAGCCAAACTCACCCAGATCCGACAGATCTACCACACGGAGCTGGAGAAATACGAACAGGTGAGGAGGAGATGCAACTCTAAGGTTCAAATCGTACCCATGATTTAGTTTTTTCCTTGAATACCAAACTGCTTCATGCACTATTCCCAAGAATAAGGAGAATAACAATGTTGTTCCTTTTTCATCAATAAAAGGTAAAATAACTATGTTCTCAGTTATTAGACATGTCATAGTCCGTTCAAATGGACCTATTGAGTTGTACTTTATGCTTCACATCCCTTCAGAACAGCGTATTCCTGGCATTAGCAGGAACATTGCAGAGAAGATGCATGATGGGGTTCAATATGTCGTCTGCATAGAAAAAAATGGCAGTATTATTCACTGTGTTGTAGCTGATTATAGAGATCCAAAGGAGAGCTTGAGTCATCTGTGTTAAATGAAAGTATGATCAGCTCCTTCACCTAGCACTTTGAGCCTGCCATTAAACACAAGCATTATGGGGTGGGGGGGGGGGGGGGGGGGGGGGGGTAGAAGGTGTAACAGTGATGCCTCAGCAAGCCAGTGAGGTAAATTAGACTAATTTACTCCGTGCTCTCTGAGAGAGGAGGTGGGTACGTGGGGGCACACTACACTTCGCCTGGAGTAAATGCATCTTTCTTAAGGGTGTTTCCAGGTTTTAATTATCTAAATGTAAATACTTAACGAATTTTACTCAGAGTAATGAGCTAAAGTGTGCACTACGTAAATGAGTTATTCTAATTAATCATGTATGAACTACTGGTTTAACGAAAAGCTGTTTAAATTCACCTTGCATTAGGGCCAAGCCAAATTGCAAATCTGCATTTTTATTCAAAGATAACTTCACCTATTGTGTCATCAAAGTGAACAGTGCACTCTGTTGATGCTTTGAACAAAAAACAGCTTGTGTGAAATATATCCCTAAATGAAAAATGTACACAACTTTAGAATATCAGTTAAAGAGCTTTTATAAGTTCACTTCTGGGACGTTTAGAGAACTCACGTTGGCCGCACTTTGTGTCTCTCTGTCACTTGGCAGGCGTGTAACGAATTTACTACCCATGTGATGAACCTGCTGAGGGAACAGTCTCGCACGCGGCCCATCTCTCCCAAAGAGATTGAGCGCATGGTGGGAATCATCCACCGTAAATTCAGCTCCATCCAGATGCAGCTGAAGCAGAGCACCTGTGAGGCTGTCATGATCCTGCGCTCCAGATTCCTTGATGCCAGGTCAGTGGATTGTGTAGTGTATAAATATATCTATATGTGTGTGTGTCTATGTGTGAGTATTTATATCTAGAAACTTGTATTGCATTTGTACGACCCAAATAGGCAAATCCAGTGGGCGAGGTCACTTTTTGGCTGTGTGCAGTTCGGAAGTTTGTTTTTCTTCCCTCTTTTCTGGCACAGCACACAGTATGAGCACTGCAAAGATGCATGATTTTAATTATGTCCATGTTCCATGTATTATCCATTTTCAAGACAATCATGGCCCAACACCTGAGAACAGTTAAGCCCAAATGAAACGGGGGGCGAGTCATGTGTAATGGATGGAGGGGAGGTCATCAGCAGGTGTTTAGGATTACTCTAATCACTAACAGTGTGGTGCATTGTGGGCGCTCTGCGAGGAGCGGCACAAGTCCTGGCTAAACAAGCCAAGTGGAAGCACATTTCGCTTGCCCACTGCCTGTGTGAAGCGCAGTAAACAAGGCAAAATAAGCAAATGCTCAACAACATGATAAGTAGTGCCCTTGGGAGGGAAGGGGACCCAGATCTAGTTAGAGTTTTCTTGTTTCTACTGGAGATCCCCGGGGCTGTGGCACTTCAGGAACAATGTTCAACTGTGCATGCCGTGATTTCTATAATGTACCGAGATGCACTCCGACTGGGCTTTGCGCTCCATCACAAAGCCCACCCATCCGCTGCACTAAACTCTACACATTACACGCTTGGACTGGAGATTGGAGACCAACAGACCAAATTAAACATTGTATGTGTTTTGTGACTGTGTGTGTGTGTTTGTTTGTGTGTGCGTGCGCTTGTCACTTTATTGGTTGGAGTCTGTTCTTCTGTGTGTTGACGAGACTCTTGAAGCAGGACACAATATTCTGCTCCTGAGGGCCCTTAGAGCCCATTCCTCATTATTTTCACCATTTATGTGCGAGATTGATTGTGCAATTTGTGCGATCCAAATGGATGAGTTAATGCTGGTCCGCTAATAGGCTTCCTTGGCCTTTCTCTGTTTCTGCTCCCCACTCAGGCGGAAAAGGCGAAACTTCAGCAAACAGGCGACGGAAATTTTGAACGAATATTTCTACTCGCACCTCAGCAACCCGTACCCGAGCGAGGAGGCTAAAGAGGAGCTGGCCAAGAAGTGCAGCATCACAGTTTCCCAGGTGGGTAGTTCTCATCTAACAGTAGCTGCTGGGTAATCAGGGTGGGAAAGGCTAGAGCCTAGAGGGATAGTTACCGTAGGTCACACCACCAAAACACAATGTCCTTAGCTAACCTTGACATTGTGGCTTCCTAATGATGCTTCAGTCAAGGCTGGTCCCAGTCAGTCAGAGCAGGGCCACAGGGAGGGGAGGCCTATATCATCTTGGCCTCAATCAAAGCACTATGCTGTCCTTCCTTACGCTGGGTCCCCTGCCATTTTTCCCTCTCATTCCCATCCACCATGTGTGCTCTATCTGTTGCCTGGTCAGCCGCTCAGGTCATAAGCCAGGAAAAAGAAATGGCACCATCCATTACTTTAAGAAAAGCAGTAAAAGTCTGGTGCTTCAAAACACTAGATGATCCTGGCTATTTATTTGTATGTTTGTGACCTTGCAGGACTCTGCTAATTCACAGTTATATTGAAGTTATAATTGGGTAAACCTGAAGGCAATATCTCTCACACCTCCCCCCCTCACATCTAGAGTATTATTATCCTGTGCTCTCTTTTTCTGCTATGATTGTGACTACTATCTAGATTTTTTTTATACTCTACTGTTCTATGTCGTCCTCATGAGACATATCACAGAAACATGAATCTATACAATAATCTGCAGTGTTTTTTCTGTGTTGGGAGGGGGTGTTTATTGAGTGTAGTCATGAAGAGTCAGATACTGTAAAAGCCCATTCTTTTTTGCCTTCAGGGGGTGGGAAGCACCATCACAGTATCACAGGTATGTCATAACTTCTCCTGATCCACTGTTTTCATTTTTTTGACTTCCTTTGTTTCTGTATGTAATAGCCTCACAGTTTTCCACTGCACAGAACCTCCCTCCCTCACCCTACTGGATCATGCTAATGTTATCATGAATTACAGTAATTCAAGTGTAAATATACATTTCTTTAAACGAGTGGATATTCAGCATTTACATCCCACCACAAGAACACAGACTATTTTTGATTGAATCATATTTTTTAAGCTACACCCATGTTATCACCATATTATGTGTGTACAAATGTCTCACATGAAATTGTACTTTTTGGCTATTGTTTACCACATGGTTTATTTATTTTGTTTGATTTAGAGAGTCGATTAATTGTGTGGTCTTTTGTATCTTCAAACTGCGCTCTGAGGTTATTTACCCCCAGCCTGCTCCGTGATTGCTGTGTGCTTTATAGCAGTTAAAGAAATGGCCACCGACCCTCACAAATGGAGCTCCACTCTGTTTCCTGAGTGCCTCGCGAAAAACATGCCACCGTTCCAGTTCCCATGAGAACAAATCAGTCTATGCAGAAATTAGAGGGCTTTTAAAAATTCACTTGAACTCATCTCAGGCCCCATTAGCGGCATACTCCTCGACCGGTGGAGGCCACGGCAGAGCTTCTTATTGACTTATTCTTAGTGCTTTGGCTCATTTTAAGTGAGTAACAAAGTCGGAGGCTCGACATGATGCCGAGTGCGCCGTAAGTGTGTTATCCCTCACCGTGCCCCGGCCTTTCAGGGGCGCAAACCGCTCGCTGTGGCCACTCTGAGGGCACTGCTAAGTAATTTTTCAAACACCCACAAAATCCTTTTTCTTTTTGTAGGCTTTGTTTATTGCACAAGCAGTTCATTATCCTTCCTTAATGGTATGCCAATATTAGTCCGCAGCTATGCTCGATACATCATCGCTGACGAAACACCCCGCATCATTTCAGCAGGGATCATTTAAAATGCAAGTGTTGCATGTTTCCTGAGAGCAAAGCCTCTTTACCTCAGGAGATCCCTGCAGTTTAAATCCAGTGTTTAAGATGTGTCAAAAATGCTGCGGGAATAACTTTAAACTGAAAAAGAAAAATGTCAACGAGTCTGATTTGATTAATCCTGAACACTGAATGTACAATGAGCTATTGACATTGTCACAATTGCCCAAGTGGCTCTTTAAATGCAGGATGCAGTCTTATTCCCTCTGTCACCCTGCATGCACTGTGCTGGGCTCCTGAATAAAGGCATCTGATTGGATGGCTGTGGTTCGTGTCAGGGTTTATTGAGGTCATATTTGATATAATGTGCGGGAATGGTTCAACATTTAACAGTTTCCTGTGCAGAGACTCATTGCTCACATTTTTCTTCTGAGTGACACTTTTCAATATTTCAAATCACAGTGAATTTAAAGAAGCTAAGACTTGAGCTCCTATCCATTATTAATGTGGACTGTATAATTGATGGTATCACAGCTAGTGAGACCACCTTTGTATTTGTATGTGAGGCTTAGGGCATTGTAATCTCAGATATATTGAGATCACGGACACATCATGCGTTGCCTTACATTCACTAGAAAGCAGTATTGACCTGAAATAGGGGGAAATACTTTGAATTATTAACCACAGCTCCACGGCCTCTCTAGTGGGCAGCAATGAAGGCAATGGTATCGTGTTCTTACAAGGAGTCTGCATGGTCATTATACAATCGCTGCCTTTGAGGCTGCTGATGTCAGGTAATTCAATCTCACAACCTGGCTCTCACCACACATAGGAGTCAATTGAATGCATGGCCTGCCACAAGATAAAAGGGAATTAGTTCTGTAGATTGGGTTGTGCTCCACACCTTACAGTACCGTGCATTTGTTCAATATTTAGCTGAACCCGAGAATCACTAAAGCCAGAGTTCAGTGGGCAGGAGAGAAATGTGCGTGTAGAGCAGAGAAAGGTGGTGTAATGTCCGCAGGATTTTATTCCAACACTGCTGAGCCTGTCCGGGCTTGTAACACCATATAGTGGTGGAACACAGTCATAACACACTATATCATAAAAGACAGATTGAAGTAATCAAAGTTTATGTTTCAACTGTTCCTACCTCATGAAATGACCACAGTTTAATAATAAAAGGGTAGAATTAGCATGCATCACTGCTGTATTTGATAAAAAAAGCAAACCAAAGTCTATCCACCACTTTCAATTTTCAGACTTAATGATACAGATATGTCTTCTTGTGCAAACACCCCAAATGACATTTTAATAAATGTAGTTCTGTGTAATACACTGTTTGCATGAACATTTGGGGAAATTAAACAGACTGATGAGCTTTGGAAAACATTTTCTATGATTTCGAGGGGTTTGTGGGCACTTTGTGAGCTGTCTAAAAGAGCGAGGGAATTGCATCGTCTTCGGCTCTACAATCCACTATAAGCAGGTTAAGTAAAAAGGATGATAGCCAGGGCTTTCATTGCTTCCAATTAAACCTTGCTTGTTAGTTTAACCTCTAGGTAAACCCATCAAACAATTGATGTCAAGGAAACCCTGCCAACAGTGGGCCTCGCCTGAATGGTCATTAATTTTAATTGCCTAGATATTAAAGATTTAGAGCACAGAGACGTGCAGGATAGAAATGATCTGATGTCCTGCAAATCCAGTCAGTTTTAACGCCACAGCATTGGCGGGCTGCTGGGGATATTAAAATGTAAGCGCATGGGTGGAAATTAAATAAAGCGTCATTAGGGGCAGCTGCTCTTTGGCTGGTCCAGCCGTGGGCTGCAGGCCCTGAGAGGGGGGCAGCAGCCCAGCGACAAGACACTCTAATTTATAGAACCATTAAAAACAAGCATCATCTCATTATTATTCCACTGTTATTGCAGAGCCAGCGTTCACACATAAGGTTCACCCCTCGTACAACTTGTCAGCGTCTGACTGATGTTGGGTGTCATCAAAATTAGCATTCCCAACTTCTCTTGATGTAAATATACCTCAATACTCAATTATTGCTTGCTCCTTTAGAGTTGCTTTTTCATTTTGGTACAATAATTATTTCAGTTTTTTTAACACGAGTTAAAAAAACTGATCATTTGTGTTTTCTGCTTCACATGGCTACACTTGTTTTTGATAATCACAAACAAATGTAATTTAGCATGCAGACACACACACACACACACAAAAACACACGCAAAAGTGTTGTATTGCAGTATTAAAGCACTCACAAACAATTACAAAGGCCAGCCATTAATAAAGTCCGGCTTTTTATGAGATTTGTATTGTGGTATGCATGTTTTCATAATAATTATAGTCAAATATTTAACACACTTAAGAATTATTTTCAATTGTTCTGTTCATGTGAAGTTGGAAATGCTGCCGTATAATGCCATATAATATGAGATCAAATAAATGAACTATATTTAACTGTATTTACATAATGTGTCAATCACCTAGACACTGATCTGGAGTCAGTGAGCATCCTTAAGAGGTTGGAATATGAACATTTTACATTTCACTATGGGAAAGGCTAGGATTTGTGTCATATACTGTAAGCACTCATATGATAAATGTATATAATATATTGACTTAAGTGTCTGTGCAAAAGGAGCCCCTTGTGTTTTAGTTTTGTCAGGAGACAGAACCGAGAGCATGTCAGGCTCCCATCCATGAGAAGACACAAGTGGCTCCTGATTATGGCTTAATTAGCTTGTGTACCCGGCGGACATTACTGCAGGGGCTGGGAATTGGGTACTTGATGGACCCAAACATGACATCTTGAAACAATCACACTGCTCAGTGCACGGTGCTGTGGCTGCTTGACGTCTGACTCCTCTGCTCCTCCTCCTTCTGCTCTACCACACAGGTATCCAACTGGTTTGGCAACAAAAGGATCCGGTACAAGAAAAATATCGGCAAGTTTCAGGAAGAAGCCAACCTGTATGCTGCCAAGACTGCTGTAAATGCAGCACACGCTGTAGCCGCTGCAGTGCAGAACAGCCAGGCCAACTCCCCCACCACACCTAACTCCGGTAGGCACTCCTGCATATAGACAAACAATAAAAAGATCTGCCCTCCACCTCAGCCCTTAACCCACTGCCTACCTGCATCACTCTCTCATGCACCATTCACACAGCCAAGAGTGACAGGCTCTGCTCCCAGCTTGGGGATCACAGTGTCTCCTGTCTATAAAACAGTTGATGCCAAGCAAACTCATGCATAAAGAGAGCGTTGCTGACTTGTGAACCGAGAACACATGTATTTTTGGCAAAATAAAAATAAATTGAAAATGAGAAATTCAGAAGGATGCCAGTGGGATTTGTTTTCCCTTGACTTTCTGTCAAATTCCTGTCATTTGTAATGTAATGGTATGTAGTCCCAGTGACTGGCAGTACTTTTTATGCTAAATAAAATGACACATAATTGCTGGGAGCATTTTACCTAGAGAGTCATACTATAATATCAAAATGGCATTTTACACAGTTCATATTGAATTAGAGTCATATAGAAACACAAAGCCTTAGAGGAGGGTATGTTTAGTCCAGTTTAATAAGAAATGTAAATCTGAGTTTGGACTAGGTTGAGCTGCTTCGGGATGTGGTAAGCTTATGAAGTGGTCCCTTTTTCTTGCACCCAGGATTCCAGATGAAAGATGAAGAGTTTCAGCTGGATTCTGCAGAGAGCAAAAACACTCTTTTAACCAACATGTTTACTGGTACTGGTCTTTTCATAAGCTTCTTATTGTCCTTGTCATTTACCATGTGATACCTCCCTGCCAACATGAGATTGAAAGTAGGTGATGTGGAACAATTGGGAGCTTAGGCAACCAACCACATATAGAAATGGCCCCCTCCCCTCTTTGTCGTGTGATTTTCATTTCATTTGTGTCTACTGCATTTGTAAAAAGATGTCCTCGGTCCCTCTGCATATCGTCCTCTTCTGTTTGTTTCTTTGCTGCCCTCCCTTTCCCTTCTTCATTCTTGTAGTTGCCTGCTTTATGGGAGTCTTTCTTCAGTTATTTGTCTGCTTGATTTGGGTCTGTGTATGCAGACACGTGCGTGGTGTGTGTGTGCGTGTTTGTGCTTTCCCTTTATAGCCTTCTCATGTATTCAGCTACTTACATCCTCCCTTTCCAGGTTCTTCAGGTTCTTTTAACCTCCCAAACTCTGGGGACATGTTCTTGAGCATGCAGAGTCTGAATGGGGATTCTTACCAAGGGGCACAAGTCGGAGCCAATGTACAGTCACAGGTAGGATCAACAATCAGGGACAGTTCCTGACTACCAGAGAGCTGTCCTTGTCTTGCCTGTGTACTGAGCCATCCACAGTGCAGTCTGAAGCACGTTGAAACAAAAATTGAAAATAAGAAAAATGCTGCACATGTGACGGGCAGTTCAAATTACCACAGCGAGGACTACTATAAAAATCCAATTGACTAAAGTGTTACTGGCTAATTTCGCTTTGGATGGAATATTTTGGCAGCCAAAATATAATCCCACCCCTCTGCTATCATGCTGCAAATCAATGTCCTGGTTACTTTTCCAATCTCACAAGAAAAACAGTTTGTGAATGCATTTGGCTTTGACTTGAACTCTTGGGTTGGTATTGGGTTTTTGGTACTCTCCTTTTTTCTGTGTCCTATATTGCTATCTTCCTGTCTCATCCTGTTATTGTTTGTTGTTGATGTCTTCCATTTTGTACGTTTTACGCACAACTGACACACAATCACAATGCACACACACATATATGCTAATTCACGATTCAAGTAAACGTAAAAGCTAATTCAAAACACATATATTTTATTTGTCTTTAAGGCTTTTTTTTATGATTCTATAGCCTCTATAGAAAACATACTGGATTTGAGCATGCTAGTAATGTCAGTGTGCCTTTTTCGTTTCATTAGGTAATTAGCAGTGTTACAAATGTGCTGTCTCAGGACTCCCTCTGTGATTTCACACTAGTCAGTATCTGTTGCTTCACTGAGCATGTTTACAGTTAGTGATGACCCGCTTTGAGACTCTGCGTTGACCAGCTTGTCCACCTTGTCTTTCCCCTCAGGTGGATACCCTGCGCCATGTTATCAGTCAGACGGCAGGATACAATGATGCTCTCGGGAGGAACACCATGTATAGTCCACACGGCTTACATGTAAGTATGGCTTTTATTCGTTTCATATAGGTTGCACAGGTTTTATGTTGATCATATTTCACTAAGGTGCATTACATTCAGATACAAAGAGACATAACCTTTGTCACCTGACACAAATACAAGTTGCATTTAATAAAGCAAATTACACAGCAGGGGAATACATCATTTATTAAACATATTTTAATATGTTCTATGAATCGAACCAAAACTTACTGAGAAAAATAAAAAAGGCTTTTGCATTTATCTGTTTGGAAATGCTTCATAGTAATTTCCATAGCCTTATCTTCATGATAAAATATGAACATGTGATCGCCCGCAGCCCTTTCCAGACACGGATTCCATCTTCCTTGATGAGGTTTGATATGGCTCCTTTTTGTAAAGCAGTGCACAATCTGAGGCTATCAGAGTAAAGATTCATTTCGTTGATGAGGGAGAAAGAAGAGAGAGATAAATAGTATCAGACAGCTCTCTCTCTCTCTCTCTCTCTCTCTCTCTCTCTCTCTCTCTCTCTCTCTCTCTCTCTCTCTCTCTCTGCACTATATCAGATCTGTATTTGCTCTCTTTATATTGTTATTACTGTTGGGTAAAATGCACGCATATTCACATTCTAATATTATAATATATAATATAAAATAAGGTATTAGATGTACAGCAGTGATGCTGGAAATAAAAAAAATATGTTTATTTATCAACTCATTTTATGTAAACAAATGGTGGGGGCTGTTGCCAGGATTCAATGCTTTTGGTGTCATTTCGGCTTTGCTAAAGCTTTATTGCTATAAGCTGTTTAGACATGTCAACTCCTACCAGGATCAAGCGTTTTTCACTTTCTCACAAGGTTTCTCACTTCCATTACGCAGTGTAGACCTGAGCCTACTGGCTCACTAGAGCTCAGCATGATCCCTACTAAAACTGCAACTGACGGCACAGAGAAACCCTGAAAGAAGAGGATGAAAAAACATAAAGTAATATGATATTTTAAATAAGTGAAATTGTGGAAAAGCTCCTTTTTTGCAGCAAACCCTACATTTCCACATAGATTTATTAGCATAGACTAACCTTTAGCTTTCTTGGTGGTGACGTAGAAGGATCCAGTAAAGGCTAGGTCATGCCTGGAGCAAAGCAAAGTCAGGCTGGCTAAGACTGGCTCTCTTGGAGAGGCCCTGCCCTGTCACTTTCACTCAGCTCCCCCCACCTCAAACCGGCCTGAGCCCTCCCTCTGCTTGACTGACAGGAGAATATGTAGCGACAAGCTGTCGTCCGCTGCCGAAATCTGCTTAGACACTGATTTCAGGGACTGCTCCCATTGGTCGGAACAATGGTTTCCAAGATGCTGATGCTACTGTAATGCACGGACTAATCACACCACATCGTTGTGAAGTGAACATGTTGATATCAGCTGACACATTAGTGCAACCACACTCTCAGAAGTCTCATTTTCCCCGTGTTGTGTTACATTTTGGGGATGAAAATGTACCAAGCTCATATTGCGGAGAACGTGATTTTAATCTCAAGATTTCCCATTTGTGTCCTAGGCTAATGGGGGGTGGCAAGATGCAACAACTCCGTCTTCTGTAATATCTCCAACAGAAGGACCCAGAAGTGTGCACTCCGATACCTCAAATTGATCCGCTTTTATTGCATCTTCGCCTCAAGCTGGGCATGGACTCTTTTCACTGGCTAGACCAACTGCAGAGGATTATACAAAAAACACTTTTCACAACAGTTTGGTTTTTCCTGTACCTTAAAATGTCCCATGCCACATTCAAAATGACATCATCACCAAGTGTTTCCTGATCGTTCAGTGTTTTCTTTACGTCTCCATAAATCAGAAGTCATCACCATGCTCTTATTTGTTTGTCGTAGGGGTAAGCACACACATGTACAAACAGAAAACAACCTTCAGATTACACTCTGTAAACCTTTAGGATAATTAGCTCCGCTCAACTTAAACTACTGGATGACAGTCGTGCATTTCATGTGACATTTTAAACGGCCATTTGTTTGTTTCTTGATTTAATTACCACTCCCATTTTGATAATTGGGTTCTCATTCAGTTCTTACAATACATAGATTAAAGCAGCTGTTTCTTTGACTGTAATGTGCTTGCAATCTTGTCCAGCAACTCAACAATGCTACTGTTGACAGCTCAATGGCAGCTTTGTTGTTACTTTCAAGATTTATTTTTGCCTTACAGCCGTATACATTAGTAGAAGGAAATGGTTATTCAAACTCGGGAACATAAAGAAGTGTAATTGATTGCTTGACTATAACATGACACCATTCCATATTTTATAATTTGATGTTTAGTATGTACATATGTAAACATTTTTTTTGTACTCCTTATCAACATATCCCCCACAGTATATCATTCCTTCATGACACACAGACGCAGGCCCACCTTACACAGGAAAAGTTGTACATAATATAGCATAAGAGTAATTATACATCCAACCAATCAATACACAGCTTTATTACCTCATTCAAATTCATAATAGAACAATAATTCCCAACATTTCTGTAGCTTAGAGTGCTCACTTACTACCTCTAAACAATACCACCACCATATATTATTTTTTCGCCCTTATTTAATGTTTTTGTAGTTATTTTTATGACATCCTGTAACACTGTAAACTCTTCATCCTCTATGTAATCTAATGTATATTGTAATCTTTTAATAAAATGCCGTTGCTGTACCGCAACTTAAAATAAAAAAAATTAAAAATGATAACATATTAATACGTTGAAAAAGAGATGGGGAGGGGAGGGGGGGGGGCGGGTGAAGATGTTGCTCTGTGGCTTTTACGAGGGAGTGCGATGAACATTGTTGATAAATTAACACCGAACAGTGAAACTGTTGTAAATATTGAAGGAAAAAAAACATTTTGAATGTTGCTCATCTTGTTACTAAATCATGCGGAAAAAAAGAGAAAAAAAATCACTATAAAAATGTAATGCATAGAGGTTTCAGTATTCAGAACTGTACATTTCCAGCTCTGTTCAACAGGGTTCAAAACTTCTTTTCTCTCTTTTTTCTATTGTATGTGATTCTGAAACTGAAAAAGTCATGACAAATGATTTGTGGCAGTGATTCTAATGTATTAAAGATGTTTAGTGTTACTTTCTAACCAGACTACACCCTGGACTGAAAAGTCTTCCTTGTGGTAGTTGTGTAATTTCAAACATGAATAAACCTTTTGCTTTCATGACAGCAAGTTGTGCTCTCTTTTGTTGAGTGAGCGGGAGAAGCCTTACACTTCTCTTCACTACTGTCAATTCAAATAAGCCTCTATTTGTGCTAGTTCTTTTTATACATGTATGTATTAAAGGTAGGGTAGGTAAGTTTGAGAAACCGGCTCGAGTGTGCTAGAATTTGAAAATACACAACCGGAGAAAATCTGCCACTTCCTTATAGAGCCCCTCCTCCAACACACACAAACGCGCACATGACCAATGAGGGCACGAGATAAGTTTGTGCACAGATGGAAGGCTGACAGGCAGGTAGGCCATCCAGTTACTTTAGCCGGGCCGGCTAAAATGATTGGTCGTACTTTTTACAGTACTACGGCTTCCACAGATGATATTTTTTAATGGATTTTTTGTCAAAGCACTTAAGATATTCATTGCTATCGGGATGTTAAGAGCATTCCATGGAATATAACAAAAAGTGTATCTCGAGCTGGTTTCTCAAACGTACCTACCCTACCTTTAAGCAATATTATAATGCTTATTTACATGCGATTTATTTACTCATTTTTCAAATATAAATCTGCTCTAAATGTTCAAGTAATGTATTCATCCTTTGCATGCAATTGTTTTGAAGAATAGGAACCTGGTTTGCAGCTACTTCAGAGCTGACATGGTTAGCGCAATTAACTGAAATGTCAGGCACTTCTAATTCAGGCTATTTTGTCTGTTTGTGTAAAGACAGCCTTAAATGGATCATAGGTTACCCATTCCACATGGAGATTGACATCCATTTAATCTCATTTTCTCAGGGCCGAGTTCTTCTTTTCTGTCTTCCTTTAGTGCTTGTTGTCCAGTGTTTTATATATCAGTCATTATCACTCCTGAATCAAAGTGTTTTCGTACACTATACTGCAAAAATAGAATATTCCTGCTCACAATGTGCAGCTAATTTATAACGTGTGTGTGTGTGTGTGTGTGTGTGTGTGTGTGTGTGTGTGTGTGTGTGTGTGTGTGTGTGTGTGTGTGTGTGTGTGTGTGTGTGTGTGTGTGTGTGTGTGTGTGTGTGTGTGTGTGTGTGTGTGTGTGTGTGTGTGTGTGTGTGTGTGCGCGCGCGTTTGAGTGTGTTTTGAGTTCAACATATGAGTGTAGATACCCAGGAAAAAGAGAAAGAGATGTAACAGCCTCGCATGAGTTTAATTCAAGCGCAGAGCACAGACGGTTTCCCAGGAGAGCACATTTGTCCACTCAACCAGTGCAGAACTTCATTGAACACCTTTCTCTGGAAATCATATCTTTATCCTGATATCACACACCCATGCCACACATGTCCAAATGCATCATAGCAATTTAAAATAAAAGAGAAGTGCCTTTGAGGTAAATAAACAAAAGAAACTTTATGGAAACTGCTTTGCATACCACAGTTTTTTTGTTACCGTTATTAAAAATGATTGCATTCTGCTTGAGGGAGGTTTTGCAGCAGTTCACCGTTGTTTTTATTTAACATTTAGTGCCTCCATACAAGCTAGTTCACTACATTGTTATGCTGTTTAAATGCATGCATATTTCCTCTCACAGGAATTATGAAACCATTTGAAGTCCATACTGCTGTACCCTGCCATTTGAATTAGGATCTATTTGCCTATTCTTCCTTTACAAATAGATACATTTACTTCCCCAAGACTTCAACTATTGAATTTTAAGTACAGCACTCAGCAAAATTGGCCCCAGAACCTTTTAAATAAAGAAGTTACATTTTCTGAGATTATGCCTATTAAAGATTTTTGTAAGGTTCATTAAAGACGACATTTTCTAAGTAAAATTCACCATGAAAAGCATGCATCATTAAATATGGAAATCCAGAATTATATTAGCAATATGCACATAGCTGCTGCCAATTAAATTAGAGAAAGATATCATTTATATTATAAAGGTACAGTTCATATTAGATAAATGTAAAATGTAATTCTTTCACGGTTTGATTTATAGCTCGTAGTGCGTTGTTCACAGACCCATGTTATTCTGTATTTCTAAGGAGAGATTGTTTATATTAAAATGTAAAAAGCTGTAATTGCATCACTATCGCTTAATTAAATTGGTAGGAGGTTCAAACTGAAATTCATAAGCTGGCACATATCTATTATTCATGTTTTAAATGTGACTCTTTATACACACAAACCGCTAACAACATGGTTAGTTTATGCAACTAGATTTATGGAATAATTAATACTTTCTGAAAAACTCAGAATAAAATAGGTAAGTCTGAGTAGAGTCAAAGACAATATACAATGTGTTTGATCCTTGATCAAAGATTGCAAAATGTAAAGTATTAGAAAACACAAAAACAGATCATAGTTCATTATAAATGATATTCCAAAAAGCAGGTTATTGTGAAAGCTGATATACATTTGTTCAACCCTCTCTCTTTTCCTCCGTACCCAAATCTCTAAAAACGGGGGTACAACGGAGCTGATCCAGATTTGCGTCCGATATGACGTCATATCGGCGACGGACCCACGGCACTATCAGAAAGTTGCTATCAGAAACAATGCCCGACTGTTTTGGACGTAATATGGTCGGTGTTTACATTAGCATCGCTAACACTCAGAGCTAACCTGTACTGGAGAGAGCATGTGTGTGAAGAAGCAGGAAATAAAAAGGAACTCACCTTGTGGTATAACCGGCAAGAGAGAAACCCTTTGAGCTCCATACTGTTTCAGAAATAATCCTTGATAATCCATGATATGGCGTTTCATCACCGCAGCATTTAGTTTAGACAGTAGCTGCCGGGTCCCGCATGAGCTCAGCCCCCTCCTTTTTATTTTTTTATCCATTTTTTTTTTTTTTAAAGCTTTATACCCAAAATCAGCACTTTTGAAACAGAAAGTGAAATAGAGGTATATGAGGCATGGCTAGAATGGGTGATCTGTTTGGTATTTTGAGCAAAACACTTCATAGACATGTTTTTTATATATGTTTATATATCTGAGACCTATGCTATTGCCTAAAAATAGCATGATAGCTGCACTTTAATAATTGAAACACTTAATGCACCTGATTTCAACACACATAGGCTTTTATCTGAGATATACCTGACATCCCCATACTCCAACTCCCAATTAATAAGGCATTGTTTTAAGAGACAGTCACAGAGAAGCATATATAATTAACAACACATAAAATAAAATGCCTAAACCAATGTGAAATAAACCCCACAGATTGGATTCTGCATCTTTAAATGTATTTATATTTCTATCAGACAATATTGCATCGAGACAAGAGTAATGGGGAGAGTGCTACTATCAAATAGGGATGCTGATAAAATAAAATACCTTCTTTTCATGTACAACAACGTATGCATTTATTCACTTTTTCCAGACTTTTCATGGTACATTTGTTCATTTTCTTTTAGATATATATTAAAAAAGCCATCTTTCCCCTTAATTTAACAGATATGGTTAACATGGTACTTCATGTATTCTGGACTCTCCCCTTTGCATAATGATTTTAGCTTTCTTAGAGCTTGCTTCATGAGATGCTCATAAAGCCATGAGCCTGAGAGTGGTGTACATTTGATTTACTTAGCAGGAGTATAATGGACCTGCACTGATCTCTTCAGCTGCACCGGCTTCTATTACTAGATGAGTCCTGAGTGGCCTTTGAGCTTAAAACAGTAGAGTTAATTAACATTTGATCCCACCTCTTCTTACATCTTAAGAAGTTCATTTTCAATTTCATTTCAGCCCATTCGCCCATTTTCTTGTTCGAAGATTGCTTTACGATCACACGCAGCCTCATCTCTGAACCGATGGTGGCTTATCATAGCTTGTTGGGCAAACGCAAGCATGTGAAGGCTTGTGACAGGAGACAGATGTTTGCCTTACCTCTTAGCAGACGCGTGTCAGCAAGCAAGGGCTGCCTTTGTGCTGCTCAAATACACTGACACCAAGTCACAACAAAATAAAAAACTGCCACAAAAACATGAATCCGTCTTTTCTCTTTATCTGTGTCTATCTCTCTCCCAAACATATACAAACACATTACATTAATATAATTTAATACAATAGAAATTAGATAATTAGATCATGTAACTTAAATCAATAGCTGCCTGCATATTCAAAGTTTGAGCCTCTCTACTGTAATTGGGCTTCAAAAAGACTTTATAACAAAGCAAGTCAACATGTCAGGTATGTAACCTACATTGTGGAGCACATACAATTCATATAAAGCCAAACAAGTAGTCAAATTAAACGCATTGTGGTGACAACACTATAATTACTTTAGGTGAATCAGGTTTTGATTAAAATACTTAATTCATTATTATGTATTAAATGTTTTTTTAAGATACACATATATTGTGTTTAAAGATGTGTTATTAAATCAACAAATAATAGACAATGTGTTAGACAGGGATATGTATACTGTCACAATGCTAAAAAAGCCCCTACAGTAGCATCCTGAAAATATTCCTTAAAGTGGTTCATGTGCCTACACTTTACACAAAGACAAAGAAAAAGAGAACATTAATGTGGCAAACATGGATGTACACAATGCAAAATGTGTAATATATTAGCAATAAGCATATTTTATATGGAAACAATGCGTTAAGTACATTTATTGAGACATTTTGTTTAGAAAAATTGACTCTAACCTTTGGTTTTTATTGTTTATTAGGAAAGTTGTGAGGCATATTTATTGTACAAATCATGGCATGCGACCATCTATTTTCCATGTGTACACAACACATATATAAATGGTATATTGTTACACCAAAGATTACTCATATTGTCTTTTCAATCTACGGCTAACTCTATCAGTTTATCTAAAACACTGCTCTTGCTCTATATATCGTATACAATGTTTCTTGTAGATAACATTTCTGGATTTCCTTATTTACTGTGAATATTGTTTATTCTTGGTATGTCAGCTAAGGGTTGGCAGGGCATGCCCACGGACAATTCCATACCTGTTAAGGCTGATGGGAAAATGTGTTAGATTGGCAAGGCACGGTATGGTGAGTGCATCC